GGGGTGGAACCACTTAATCGGTTCCACCTCCCTGCAGGTTGAATCTCTCCTTGTTCAGTTTCCATCCATTATTCCTTTTCTGGCCTTCAGAGGCTTTGGAGAATAGCTTGAGCCCCTCCTCTCTGGGGCAACCCCTCAAATACTGGAAGACTGCTCTTATGCCTCCCCTGGTCCTTCTCTTCCCTAGACCAGCCAGGCCCAGTTCCTGCAACCGTTCATTGTATGTTTTAGCCTCCAGTCCCCTCATCATCCTGGTTGCTCTTCTCTGCACTTTTTCTAGAATCTCAACATCTTTTTTATAGTGTGGTGACCAAAACTGGATGCCATGTGAATTGAATTGAATTGAATTGATTTGGAATTGGAATTAGAATTAGAATTGAATTGAAATTTGATTGAATTAGATGAATTGAATTGAATTCTTTATTTGGCCAAGTCTGATTAGACATACAAGAAATTTGTCTCAGGTGCAGAAGTTCTAAGCGTACATGCAAAGCAACAGAATAATGATAATTATAATACCAGTAAGGGGGGTGGGTGGGTATAGAAGATAATAAGGATAAATGATAATACCTATTCTAACATAGTGAAACCTGGACACTAACCTTGCAATTGATACAAAAGCTAAGAGTGTCGCAAAGAGCCATGGGAAAATCCATGCTCAGCATCACAAGACAAGATAGAAAGGACAGCCTATACAGAACAAACAAAAGTCAACTAGATCATCAAGAGAGTAAAATAATGAAAATGGAAATGGGCTGGTCACATAGCAAGAAGAACTGATGGCAAGTGGACCGAGGTGGTGAATAGATCCCACTTGATAAAAAGAGACCTAAAAGAAGATGGATTGACGAAATCTGCAAGTATGGCAGGCCCAATTGGCAAAAGCCCAGGACCACATTGGTTGGAAATGTGCGGGAGAGGTCTTCATCCTGCAGTGGATAGACAAGAGCTAAAATGATGATGAAATAATACTACATGTGTATACTAACTAGACAGCACTGTGAGAATTCAGAGATTCAGATTCCAATTAGAATTAAAATCAGCAGATTGATGGCATATGGTGGGGGTGGGATGGACGGACGACTGTCCCTGTTGTTTTAAAAGGGCAATTGAAAATCTGCCAGTCTTTACTTCTTGATGAGGCTAGATGGAAACCCCTGGTTTAGGAAAACATGTGTTTCATTTCATTTTTGCTTTGAAGTTTCTTACTTTAGACTCCATGTACGCAAGTTTGCAACAGTTCATGGGTCTGATTTTTCCGCCTCCTTGGTCACCTTCAGAGGTGATATTCAACCGATAGTGGAAATCGTGGGTGGGAAATCGCCCACCCACCCCAGCTCTATGCCATCCTATTTAGGCATGTTTTTGAGGCTGGGTGCATGTGTGGAAGATACGCATGTGAGCAAAGCACATGTATCCAACACCGGGCACATGTGCGGAAGGCACGCATGTGCCCATGAACTGGTAGTAACAAAATGTGAAACCCACCACTGGTCACCTTATTGAATTTGGCCTTGACTGACATTTACGGTCAAATCAAATCTTAATATTTTTTTAACCTATGGCTTTGTAACTTTCAGAATATTAGGCTGGACTGAAAAATTAATGAAGGTGGTTATGGCCCACTATTTTGTATTGCTGTAATAAAAAAATGACATGGCTGTATCTGTAAAAGTACCGGGAATTGATTTTTAATGTAAACATGTGAATTGATTTCCCTTTCGTTTCCCAGGGTCAAAAGATCCAATTGTCCCTTGGAGGAAAACCACTGGTTTTTAATACCTGGGGATTTTTCCAAAAAAGGATTACATTTACTTGTGATTTTTCCCCCCAGGAAGATATTACAGTCTGATGCATTTGGACCAGAGTAAATTCCAGTTTGCATGCCTGAAGTGCTGATGTCACCACTCCATTTTGCAGGTAAGCTGGTGGGATGATTTTAAGATCAGTTGCATTTTCCTAACTATTTCTTTCTTCCCCCAACAAACCTCCATTGTTAAGTTTTCTGGAAACTAGAAAGGGCATAGTAGTTCCTTGGTAGAACTTTGGTTCACCTGATTAAAGATATTGCCTTAATGAGCTCTCACAATCAACAGAGAGGAATAATTGTTTGTCTTACTGAAATAAGAACGTAAAATGCTTTTTAAAGATTTCAGTGGTGTGGTGGCCTACAAGTGGAGCTGTTGCATTACAATCAAGAGGCTGTGAGTTCAAATCTTAGGTAGAGGCAGATGTTTCTCTCTCTGGGCAGGATGGGAATTATCTGCTGAATATAACGCCGCATTGGTGACAGGAAGGGCATTTGGACAGTAAACACTCCCCATTCAGTTACCCAGACTCCACCCCAATGCAAGGGATTACGGGGTCATTAAAAGCCGATGGATGCTTTGAAGGATTTCACGAGCCACCCTCCCCCCCCCCCAGTGTTGGAAAAGACTCCACACATTTCCTTCCATGAATTAAGCTATCTGACCTGGATGAAAAGCAAGACCACGACCAACACTTCTGAATGCCTACTGACATTGTTTATTGCAAATCATGTAACAAAATAAAATAAAAGGCATCATTTTTGCAAACTACACTTTTGCATGGGTTTCTTTTTTAATTACAGGTTTGTTTTTAATCTCCCACATCTCTGACATAAACTACAGTCTAATTTATAAAACGTAAAAAGATTTGACACCAAGAGGCGGGTGTTAAAAGCCACTCATCGTAGAGACGTCCCAGCACTTTCCTGTATCCCAAGGGTGAGGAGGTTCTCCAGGGGTCTCCGGAGAAAAAAAGGGAAGCTTGGGGGATGATCAGATTCCCCAAAAGAAGGCGCCAGTGAGTTCAACATCTGCAGTGTGAAGAGCATCTTCCCCAGGATTACAGTTCATGAACTTGCCCAAAGATGCCAATGCAGTTATAAGCCAGTCCTACCTGGGCATCTCAGAGGATGTTCCTTTGAAGGCAATTCTCAACTTACTACTTCAATCGGGACTGGAATAGCTTCCATTCCTAAAGCGATGGGCTCATTGAGTTATATCCAATTTTACTGCTTTTTTTTTTTTGCCACCGTCCTTAAGCGAATCCATCTTTCCCCCACTGATGTGTTGGAAGCCCACCTGGGAAGGCTGCAAATAGTGACTTCGTGCCCCCACCCCAGGACATTGCAACCATCCATCCACATGTGCTGGTTGCAAAGTGCCTACATTTTGCTCACCAAACCTCTGTGATTTTCAGCAAGTGTGAGGCTGTGAGTCTCACACTTACTGTGAGTTTTGAATGGTTAATCGACTAACAACTAAATCCAAGGCTTTCGTGTAGCATTTACTCCAAAGGACACAAGCCCAGGTTTCCAACCTCGCCGGCTAAGCCTGTTTCATTCCCCCCTTGAGCAATATTTTTCAACCACCCCCCACCAGTGCAATGCTTTCTTTCTTTCGTAGATTTTTTAAACAAAATCCAGCCATATTGTTTTATGTAAAAAAACAACAACAAAAAAGACTCCATATTTACAAAACATTAGCTTTGCCATAGGCGCATACTGTATATATATATATATTTGTATACAAATTCAGCTGCTCCACCTGTCCACCCCGCTAGCTCCCCGTTCTCTAAAAAGAAAATGATACAACCATCGCAAAAACAAGAGGCGCCAATCCTAAACAGGAGGAGGCCGAAGGGCAAAAACTTGCTTTCTGATGGCAATTCTGTTGTGGGAATTAGCAGGATTCCCGCCAGTTAAATGCAGGGATGTTAGCTTTCTGAAATTGGATAGGAAGCTGATCCACGGTGGTCAAGCCGTGGTTAAGGTTTTGCTAAGCCACCTCCTAGGGGTTTCAACAGAGGCTCCTTCCAGCTGCCAGCCTGCTAAGGACAAGCCCCCTCCCTCTGCCGCCTGCCCTTCTGGAAACCCCAAATTTGAAGTCTTCTCCAGCCTCCCCCCCCCCGACTGTTGAGGGATACAACACAGATCTGAGACCATCTTAAATCCACATGGGCTACAGCTTCAAGACATTGACCCAGTTGATGGGGGCTTCATTTTCTCTCTAGAGTGCCTGTCTCTAGAAGGGGGGAAACCCAAAGATGCTTCTTTTTTTTTTTAAGGCCACCATACTCTGTTTTTCCTTGAAGACGTTTTGCTTCTCACCTGAGAAGCTTCCTCAGGGCCAACCCACCCATTCCTACTAAGGAAGCAGAACTGAAGAAGCTTCTTGGATGACAAGTGAAAGTCTTCAAGGAAAAACAAAGTCCAGTTGCTTTTTTTGGGGGGGGGGAGGGAACCACCTTGGGACAGCCATGGCCAGGATGACCGAGAACCTCTGGAGACTTTCAACCCATGGAAAGTCTCATTCCCACCCCCAGCCCCCCGTTAGTTTTCCCAACCTGGGGACTTCCTAACCTCTGGGTCAACCACCAGCCATTGCCCGACAGAAGGCAAAGTACTGGAACGGCCAGGAAAGAGATTCCCAATCTTCCCTTCTTATGGAAAGTCACCTCCTTCTCTCGATGGGTTCCAGGTGACACATGGCCAACCAGTCTTGCTCCCACGCGGGAGTCCCAACGGAGCTTCAAACTGTCTTCATGGTTATCTCAACATCTTTTCTTCTTTGCTTTGCCGTGTTAAAAAAGGCAGGGCACAGTTTTCTTATTCTACCCTCGTTCCAGGGGCAGATTTTCCCCCCCTTTCCTTTCAACGTGGCAAGAACCATAGGGGCCCTCTATGGGGTGGGCAAGAGTGGAGAAGTCTCTGGAATCCCCTTGTAGCTTAAAACCTCCCATCCTGGTTTTTGATCATAGGCAGATTTAAAATAAATAAAACGTTCAGTTTTCATGCAAAAAAAGGTGGATAAAAGTATGTAATACTGAAACTTTAATACAAAGATTCACGCTCTGTATTATCCGTGTTTCTCCGCCTTGGACTTCCACCCCAGCCAGCGTGCTTGAAAATGGGTGGGATTCAGCTTGAATTGGTTGACAGACCTCAATAAAAGTTGCCAAGGCTGAGAAACACAGCCCTATTTCCATCTCTCCCACATCCTTGGGCTGCGCAAGGGGGTATCGGATGCGCTTTCCCTGAATCCCCGCCTGCCACGGTGGCTAGGGATTTTGGGAGGGAACCTAAGACATTTAGAAGCGCCCAGATGTAGAAAGCCAATATGCCTATACATCTATATATTATCAACCCCCAGTGGATATTTTAAAGCGCTCTTTAAAAATAAACCATCATCTTATATTTAAATTATTTTTCCTCATATAGGTACATTTTTTTAAGAAACAAAATTGCCCCTCTCCCTTTTTATTCTGTTTTTAAAAATGAACAGGAAAACATATATCCTGATCAATAAATACGGGTCGTTTTACGGATTTTTGCTTATAGCTTTACAGAAGAATCTTTCTCTAGGCAAAGAAAAAAGAAAAAAAGCACGATACAAACGTTTGTTGTTGTTCTTTTAAAAAAATGTCAATTAAAAAAAGTCCCTGTTAATAGATATTTTTTTCTATTTCTTGGAATAGTAAATGCAGCCCATGAAATTCTTAACAGAACATATAAATAAAAAAACGGCAGTGTTTTCACATAAAAGAAAAAAGTACATAAATAAATACTAAAAAAAGAGGAAGAATGCAGTGACGTTTCCAACTTACAATGTATGCAAAAATATTTTTTTTTAAAAAAAAAGGAAGAAAAAGGGGGATTTCTCCAGTTCAGCCAAGGGGCTCTGTCCGTCTCCCCTTTACTTGAAAGCTTCCGGGATGCGCCCCACCTGAGGCTGCACGCTGGTGGGCGGGCTCGAGATCCCTTCCGACCAATCCGAGACGTTGGAATGGGGGGAGGAGCTTGACCACTGGTCCGGAGACTCTGGCGAGGGTGTGAGGAAGGGGTGGTCGGGCCCCTGGAGCGGGTGGCTGGGTGTGTGGTCCATGGGGGAGGGGTAGCTGTGCTGGGAAGGCGGAGTCAGGAACTGGGGGGTGGTCAGGGCCTGGGACAGGCCGGGGGGCAGGGAAGTCGCCAGCACCTGGGTGTCCTGTGGCAGGATGGAGTGGATATTCATTTGCTGCTGCTGCAGCTCCGCCTGGCTCAGCTCGTTCCCGAGGAAGCTGGCCCCCACTTGGGGGGCAGTGTTCGTGGCCCCGCCGTGGCCTTGCGGTGGGGGCTGCTGCTGCTGCTGGGGTTGCAGCAAGTGTGGCTGGGAGTGGGTGGGCAGAAGGCCCCCAGGGACCGCCTGGTAGGTCATCATGGGAGCCAGAGGGGCGCCGGAGAGGCCACTGTGCAGGGGCGCCAGCATCCCGTGGGGCAGGGCCTGGCTGGCCGGGTGGGTGCCCTGCGGAAGGGCGCTCCTCAGAGGATTGTACTGCCCGGGCACAAGGCTGTTCTGCAGGCGATTCAGCCACTCACACTGGCTCCCGCTGACGGTGAAGTTGAGGGAGGCTCTTCCCAGGAGGGCGCTGGCGCTGGAGGCGGGCAGGTGGGAGAGGCGAGGGGGCCCCGGCTCGTAGGGCTGCATCTGGCTGGCCCCCAGGCCCAGATCCGCCTTGCTGACCAGGTTGAGTTGGCTGATGCTGAGGTGGGAGTCCGCCATGCCCGGCAGGTGGCTGAGGGGCATGGAAGGGGAGGCCTGGAAGGGGGAGGTCATCAGGGGAGGGGAGGCCACGTCCGACAGGTAGCCATGCGGGGACTCCAGGGAGTCGACCGGTGAGAGGACGCCGGAGCCGTCCAGCAAGCAGCCCTTGACCTCCTGCGACTTCTTCCGGGGGGCCTTTAGCCCCTTGGGCTCCTTCCCGTTGCAGCTCAGCCCTTTGGCGCTGGGCTTCCGGGCCTTCTTGCCCTGCAGGCCGGGCTTCAGGTTGCCCAGGTAGCCGCTGGGCGAGCAGAGTGGCGGGGAGAGGGTGGGGCCCCCCAGAGGCCCCCCGTTGTGCAAGGGTGGGCTCCGCACCAGGTTGTACTCGTCCAGGAGGCGGACAATGTCGTGGTGCATGCGCTCCTGGGCGACGTCCCGGGGCAGGCGGTCCATGTGATCCGTGATGTCCCGGTTGGCGTAGCTGTCCAGCAGGACTTTGGCCGTTTCGTAGCTGCCTTCTTTGGCCGCCAGGAACAAGGGGGTCTCGTCCTAAAACACAGGAAAGCAGGACTTCAGACCCCTCCCCAGAATCCATTAGCCGCCCTGTTGACTTGCCCTGGGTGAGGCCAAGTGGGCGATTTCCTTCAGAGGGAGGTTACTCCACAGGGGACCCCCGGGGCTCTTTCTAAGGCTCTGAGGCAGCGAGGGGCCACAGTCACCCAGCTGGCCTCCTGACTAGAACTCCCCACCTTCCTGTCTCTATTCTGGTGCCTTAATCACTCTACCAAACTGACTTTCTATTGCTTGTGTACATTTGATAATAGGGAATAGGGGAGAACAGGAACGAAAGGGAAGGGAAGGGAAGAGAAGGGAAGAGAAG